GGCGTGATGGCGGGCGTGCTGGCGGCCTGGCGCTTGGGCGAGCGGGCAAGCGGGCGAGCGAGCGGAGCGGGCGGGCGAGCAAGCGAGCGGGCGGGCGCCGTGCAGGGTAAAATATTCCCCAAGGATGAGCTCACGGCGGGCACAAAGGGTAATTCAGACAGATTTGCATACATCCATCTCATTACACGACACACGCCGAGGAGAGCGGCCAGCCAGTCAGGCAGCCAGCCGGCGCGGCGCGCGGCGGGACGCGGCCGGGCGCTGCCCTTGGCGGACCTCTGCCCAGTGCGCTGGCGCTGTTTGCGAGTTGCGCAAACGGAGTTCATGCGCTGCTTTCGCTGTGTTTCGCGGTCTCTTGACTATCTTGACTTTATTGATTGGTTGATGATAATCAACTACCACCTCCGCTGGAACAAACCCCATCTTCCAACTGTTTTTCCGGCATGTGTAGTGCATTTAAGTGTAAGTTAATGTATCTAAGTGGTGAGGATAGGAGTGGGGGAGGAAAGATCGCGCGCGAACCGTGGGCCGTTTCTGAGGGTATTGCTCTGGCATTAGGGTGTTGATCGGAGAAACCACGAAAAATTACCGATCAGAGTAGCCGGCTGATATAATTCTATTCCAGACAGCGGCTGAATTCGACCTAGTTATGTAGCTAGTCAAAAATCCTTCCATGGTCGGTAATCGAACCCAAGCACCTCCCGGTCACCAGCAATGACGTCTACTAATGCTCTTAGCCCCATAAGCCGTCAGATTGTATTATAGCGGTTGGGTTGGTAAGGAGTGAGATTTTCGGGTTTTCGGGCAAAATAATATTTTTTGATTATTGGATGTGTTTCTTCTGTACAATTTCTTGTTTCACCAGAATACATCAGGTAATATACAACTTTCATTCATTTTCTATATAAGTAGAGTTGTTTCTGAAGGGATATTGAATGGGGATAATAAATAGGATGTTTCATGTTTGTTTTCGTATTAATTCTCGAACAATGGATTTGAACAGTTATTTCTGATTTCTGTAAAGTATTAGCATTTCATGTGATTTTATATTTATTTTACATATTATTTAGTCGCTATCACTTTAATGTTAAATTATTTTCATTGAGTGACAAATCTCAAAATATTTTCGAATATATCCAATTTTATGTTTGTGTATTATAACGAAAGTCGGATCCTTTCGTGAGCACAAAATTTGTATACGAAGCCTGCCTCACTGTTTTGTTGACTTCCAGAACTTAAAAAGCTTTCGTTCAGGTAATGAAACCGATTAAGAGGCCCATTTTGTGGTTTTTCGTGACTTAAAAAGTTGTAAATGGTAGCGTGTAATATGAAACGCGGTTCCCAGAAGAAGGTAATGTGGTAGTACATCCCATCAACTCCTCTTTTTTCAATTCTCCCGCAGAAAAGTTTTTCTTGCGCAGCTCGAGTTTCGACCGCTTTTTTTCTCGAATTTTAAGACAAGCGTTTCATGTGGCTCGTAACCAATTCGTGTGCGGACAGCCTTGTTAAGATAGAAATATTGAACATTTCGTCATCGGCGGCTCATGTTACGCTATTGC